ACTTGCCTACTGTGCACTTATACTCCCTTCCTTACCAGGCCAATATTCAGCTTTCAGCACTGTTGCACTTTGAATGACAATTGTGTGGTCATACAAGATTGTACCAATATAAAATTTTTATCATTTTTTTGCTTTCTTTTGGTGGTATTTAATAGCCGCTAGGTGTTTTACTTTTTGTGCTATAAACAAAAAAAGTGCCTCTGTTTCTATTATAAAATTTTGCAAACAGGTAATTTTTCTCCTTCACTGATGTGCGTTGATGAGGCAGCAGTGATGGGCACTGATAGGCGGCACTGATAGGCAGCACTGAAGGGCACTGATAGGTGGCACTGATAGGCAGCACTAATTAGGTGGCACGGATAGGTGGCACTGATAGGTGACACTGATAGGTGGCACTGATAGGCAGAACTGATGATGGGTACTGATAGTTAGCACTGATAGGTGGCACTGACTGGCAAACTGCTGGGCACTGACTGGTGGCATTGCTGGGCATTGACTGGCAAACTGCTGGGCACTGATTGGCACAACTGCTGGGCATTGACTGGCAGTACTGCTGGGCTGCACTGATGGGCACTGGTGGGTGGCACTGGTGGGCACAGGTGGGTAGCACTGCTGGGCACTGGTAGGTGGCACTGCTGGGCACAGGGGGGTGGCAGAGCTGGGTGGCACAGGTGGGTGGCACTGATAAGCACTGGTGGGTGGCACTGGTGGGCACAGGTGGGTGGCACTGCTGGGCACAGGTGGGCGGCACTTCTGGGTGCAGGTGGGCAGAGCTGGTGGGTGGCACTGCTGGGCACCGATCATCAGTGCCCTGATGATCGGTGCCGATCCCTGATCTGACAACTGGCGGTTCTCGGCAGTACTTTCCTCACGCTCTGACAGTGTGAGGAAAGTGCAGCCGAGAACCAGCAATTGCATTTCCCTGTGATCAGTGTGTCATTGGACATGGCTGATCACGTGGTAAAAGGCCGCAGTGATTGGCCTTTTACCCCATCACGTGATCAGCTGTGTCCATAGGACACAGCGATCACGGAGATTGCCAGGTGCGTGCCCCCAGGGGCACGTAGGAGAGTGCGTTCTGGGAGGACGTTATATGCCGCCCTCCCAGAACTGGCCGGCCGCAGTGCAGCCGTCATTCTGCTATCTGCGGTCGGCAGCTGGTTAAAATGGCATAACTGGTGTAGACTGTATTCACTGAGGGCTACACTGAGATAAACAACCCTCAAACATTACACTACATACTTGTAATGTAAAGTAGTGATGGTCATCTCCATTTAGGAGGTGATGTGCACACTACTTGGTTTGAAGTTATCCCACTAGAGTGCACACACAAGAAACCTCCAGGAAGCTGTGAGGGAGCCCCCAAGGTTTCCACAGTTCGACGTGTACCATATAAGAACTAGGGATGAAAGAAATAACTTGTACATATAGTGACTGTATCATTGTGACTGCTGCACAGCTAGACTCAAGGAAAAGAAAAACCTCTTAATAGTGATATGCTTCATCCAGTGAAAAATGACAATTTTTCACTGATTGCTACTGGCAATGGAAACACCATCCTCCATTTTATATAGAGTCATTTATCTTCTATGGTTTCATGAAAAGACATGTTTTTCTTACCTTTAGGTTTTCATTTTGTCTAGACTGTGTGCTGTTATTAAACTGCGTAAGGTTAATGGCAAACATAAATGTAGCAAGTTTATACTGAAAAGATGATGATATCTGCCATAAAAGAGCAAAAGGTGATTGTGCTGGGTTAAACTTGAATTAACTCCTTTCATTTATACAGACAGCTATGTGGTAGAGGTTCACATGGATGAAAGGCATTTAATAGACTGTTACTCTGACATTTTAATAATACAAACACTAGGCTTCTTTTGTACTGTGTACTGCACCATATATATCAATCTGAGTAGTTTTGGATTACTCTACTGGTATAAATAGAGGAAATATTCACACAAAGTAGCAAGCAAAATGCAAAACCAGTATGCTGCTTGCTGTTTTATAAACACTTGCAGGTCAAATGTACACTCCGCAAATGAAATAGCCAGCAAAAGTGATTTTGTACAGTGTCCAGTATATGTCCAATAAATTCCAGAATATGCTTTTTGTACATTAGCTTGTGGGGGGCAAGGAGTTGGTAGCAAATGCAGAAGAATGGCACACAAAGACCCAAAGTAATTGGCACAATTATTATTTCATTACATTGTAGGTAGGCAAACAACAAGTGGAGTACAGCTACTGCAATACCAGTTGCAATTGATATTAGGTAGCTTTTTAGGGTTTCTGTTTTATATTAACAGATGTAATTACATTTATATACTATATATAGTGTCCTCTTATGTGTCTTTCCACTTGTATGATCTGGCACGTATGCTCTTTTTGGGTTGTAATTTGTTCAAGCAGGCAGACAATATATAGGGAATTTTCTTTTGGTAATCCTTTTTAAACACAAGATGGATATGTTTTGTTCTGTTCCAGCGTCTGTTGTTAAGCAAGTGCTTTGGTTCTGGTCTTCTGGCTATTTATAATGTTTGATGGATGCCATTTAGCCAGTACCACTGATGACATTATCTATGATGAAATGCATTAGGTGTGGCCTATGATGTGAGATCATCATCCAAGGTATAGTTGATGGGTCCACAAGTTTGATGTCTGCCTGGTTGGATTTTGCTAATTGGTTTTATATATTTTAGTGTGAGTGCACAAGTTTTAAATAAAAGCTGTGGAATTTGAAACACTACACTTTGGTTTGCCACCTTTATTTTCCATCCAGTCTGTTGTAAGCATCGGCTGGTCAGAAGATGGATCACCACGCTGCAGCTGGAGAAGTCAGGTTTATGCCCTGTTTATGGAGTGTGCAGTTTGACCATTTCAGCTGTAATAGTCCACTTTCTCTGGTAAGAGATTTTGGTGTGGCATTCATGCATGGTTTGACAGACTCACTTGGTGAGTTGGTATGACGGGGTGGAACGGTGCAGGAGTCTGTATTGAGCGCTGTGTGACCATTTTCTCATAGTGGTCAATCACTTCTAGTAAGAAGCTGGTGTTTGGGTCTTCGGTCACAGTTTATCCAGATTAGCACCTTATAAAAAAAGCACAGCACTTTGGCAGAACTATATGGACACTTTGTGCACTTTTGCATATGTATTCTATGAATGGAATGTACACATTTTATATGTTTATTTTGTGGTATGCACTTTAAATAGCAGATCAGTGTTGACTGCATGGTGTATGGGGCTGATACATTTTTAGCAATTTTATTTACCACATTCAGCAATATTTCATCACTTTATGATATATATATACATACCTGCTCAAAAAATTTAAAGGAAAACTTTGAAAACACATCAGATCTCAAAGGGGAAATATATAATGCCAGATATCTATACTGATATGCACTGGGTACTGTGTTAGGAATGTAAGGATGCCCCATTGTTTGATGGAAATGAAAATGATCAACCTACAGAGGACTGAATTTAAAGTCACCCTGAAAATCAAAGTGAAAAAATGATGCAGCAGGCTAGTCCATTTTGCTGAAATGTTATTGCAGCAACTCAAAATGGTACTCAGTAGTTTGTATGGCCCCCACATGCTTGTATGCATGCCTGACAATGTCGGGGCATGCTCCTAATGAGATGTATAGTGTCCTGGGATATTTCCACCCAGATCTGGACCAGGGCATCACTGAGCTCTTGGACCGAAACATGATATCCAAGAGGTGTTCTATTGGATTTAGGTCAGGCAAGCATGGAAGCCATTCAATTAAATCAATTCCTTCATCCTCCAGGAACTGCCTGCATACTCTCGCCACATGAGGCCTTGTATTGTCGCGAACCAGGAGGAACCCAGGATCCACTGCACCAGTGTAGGGTCTCACAATGGGTCCAAGGATTTCATTCCGATACCTAGTGGCAGTCAGGGTGCCATTATCTAGTCTGTAGAGGTCTGTGCATTCCTCCATGGATAGGCCGCCACCAGACCATCACTGACCCACCACCAAAATGGTCATGCTGAATGATATTACAGGCAGCATAATGTTCTCCATGGTTTCTCCAAACCCTTTCACATCCGTCACATGCTCAGGGTGAACCTTCTCTCATCTGTGAAAAGCACAGAGTGCCAGTGATGGACCTGCCAATTCTGGTGATCAATGGCAAATGCCAATCAAGCTCTATGGTGCCTGGCAGTGAGCACAGGGTCCACTAGAGGATGTTGGGACCTCAGGACACCCTCATAAAGTCTGTTTCTGATTGTTTTGTCAGAAATATTCACACCAGTGGCCCACTGGAGGTAATTATGTAGGGCTCTGGCAGTGCTCATCCTGTTCCTCCATGCACAAAGGAGCAGGTACTGGTCCTGCTGATGGGGTAAGGACCTTCTACGGCCCTGTCTAGCTCTCCTAGAGTAACTGCCTCTCTCCTGTTATATCCTCAATGCTCTTGAGACTGTGCTGGGAGACACAGAAAACCTTCTGGCAATAGCACATATAGACATGTCATCCAGGAGGAATTTGACTGCCTGTGCAACCCCTGTAGGGTCCAGGTATCGCCTCATGCTACCAGTAGCGACACTGACCCTAACCAAATGCAAAACTAGTGAAAAACAGTCAGAAAAGATGAGTAGGGGAAAAAATGTCAGTGACCTCCACCTGTAAAACCATTCCTGTTTTGGGGGTTGTCTCATTGTTGCCCATCCAGTGCACCTGTTTTTAATTTCATTAACACCAAAGCAGCTGAAACTGATTAGCAACCAACTCTGCTACTGACCAGATCAATATCCAAGGAGTTTAATTGACTTGATGTTATACTCTGATTAAAAAGTCTTCCTTTAATTTTTTTGAGCAGTGTATATACTGTATATATATATATATATATATATATATATATATATATATATTATATATATATATATATATATATATACACACACACACACACACAAATCACTGGCTTCATGTGTTCAAAACACTTCTGGGACCACAGGTGTATGAAATCAAGCACCTAGGCATGCAGACTGCTTCTGCAAACATTTATGAAAGAATGGTCGCTCTCAGGAGCTCAGTGAATTCAAGCGTAGTACAGTGATAGGTTGCCACCTGTACAATAAGTCCATCCATGAAATGTCCTTGCTACTAAAAGTTTCACAATCAACTGTTAGTGGTATTATGACAAAGTGGAAGCAGCTGGGAACAACCGCAACTCAGCCACAAAGTGATGGGCCGCGTAAAATGAGAGAGTGGGGTCAGCACATGCTGAAGCGCTCAGTGCGCAGAAGGCGCCAACTGTCTGCAGAGTCAATAGCTAAAGACCTCCAGACTTCACGTATTCTTCAGATTAGCACAATAACAGTGTGTAGAAAGCTTCATGGAATGGGTTTCCATGGCCAAGCAGCTGCATCCAAGACTTGCATCACCAAGTGCAGTGAAAAATGTTGGATGCAGTGGTGTAAAGCACACTGCCACTGGACTCTAGAGCAGAAGAGACATGGTTTCTATGGTGATGAATCAAGCTTCTTTGTCTGGCAATCCGATGGATGTGTCTGGGTTTGGCGGTTGCCAGGAGAATGGCACTTGCCTGACTGCATTGTGCCAAGTGTAAAGTTTGGTGGAGGGGGGAATTATGTTGTAGGGTTGTTATTTAGGGGTTGGGCTTGACCCCTTAGTTCCAGTGAAGGGAACTCTTGAGGTGTCAGTATACCAAGACATTTTGGACAATTTCATGTTCTGGGGATGGTCCCTTCCTGTTCCAACATGACTACACACCAGTGCACAAAGCAAGGTCCATAAAGACCTGGATGAGTGAGTTTGGGGTGGAGGACCTTGACTGGCCTGCACAGAGTCCTGACCTCAACCCAATAGAACACCTTTGGGATGAATTAGAACAGAGACTGCGAGCCAGGCCTTCTGGTCTGACATCAGTGCCTGACCTCACAAATGCGCTTCTGGAAGAATGGTCAAACATTCTCATAGACACTCATAAACCTTTTGGATAGCCTTCCCAGAAAAGTTGAAGCTTGAGGGGTGGGCCAACTCAATGCTGAACCCTACTGACTAAGACTGGGATGCCAATAGGCAGACTTACCTATATATATATATATACAGTCATGGCCGAAATTGTTGGCACCCTTGATATTTCTCCAGGAAATCATGTATTTCTCACGAAACGTATTGCATTAACACATGTTTTGCTATACACATGTTTATTCCCTTTGTGTGTATTGGGACAAAACAAAAAAAGGGAGGAAAGAAAGCAAATTCGACATAATGTCACACAAACCTCCAAAAATGGGCTGGACAAAAGTATTGGCACCCTTTCACAACTGCGGATAAATAAGAATGTTACAAGCATGTGATGCTCCTGTAAACTCACCTGGGGCAAGTAACAGGTGTGGGCAATATAGAAATCACACCTGAAAGCAGATAAAAAGGAGAGACGTTCACTTAACCTTTGCATTGTGTGTCTGTCTGTGCCACACTAAGCATGGACAACAGAAAGAGGAGACGAGAACTGTCTGAGGACCTGAGAACCAAAATTGTGGCAAAATATCAACAATCTCAAGGTTACAAGTCCATCTCCAGAGAACTAGATTTGCCTTTGTCCACAGTGCGCAACATTATCAAGAAGTTTGCAACCCATGGCACTGTAGCTAATCTCCCTGGTCGTGGACGGATGAGGAAAATTGATGAAAGATTGCAACGCAGAATAGTCCGGATGGTGGATAAGCAGCCCCAAACATGTTCCAAAGACATTCAAGCTGTCCTGCAGGCTCAGGGAGCATCAGTGTCAGCGCGAACTATCCGTCGACATTTAAATGAAATGAAACGCTATGGCAGGAGACCCAGGAGGACCCCACTGCTGACACAGAGACATAAAAAAGCAAGACTACAGTTTGCCAAAATGTACTTGAGTAAGCCAAAAGCCTTCTGGGAAAAACGTCTTGTGGACAGATGAGACCAAGATAGAGCTTTTCGGTAAAGCACATCATTCTACTGTTTACCGAAAACGGAATGATGAGGCCTACAAAGAACAAAACACAGTACCTACGGTAAAATATGGTGGAGGTTCAATGATGTTTTGGGGTTGTTTTGCTGCCTCTGGCACTGGGTGCCTTGACTGTGTGCAAGGCATCATGAAATCTGAGGATTACCAAAGGATTTTGGGTCGCACTGTAGGGCCCAGTGTCAGAAAGCTGGGTTTGCGTCCAAGATCCTGGGTCTTCCAGCAGGACAATGACCCCAAACATACGTCAAAAAGCACTCAGAAATGGATGGCAAAGAAGCGCTGGAGAGTTCTGAAGTGGCCAGCAATGAGCCCAGATCTAAATCCCATTGAACACCTGTGGAGAGATCTTAAAATTGCTGTTGGGAAAAGGTGTCCTTCCAATAAGAGAGACCTGGAGCTGTTTGCAAAGGAAGAGTGGTCCAAAATTCCGGGTGAGAGGTGTCAGAAGCTTATTGATGGTTATAGGAAGCGACTGATTTCAGTTATGTTTTCCAAAGGGTGTGCAACCAAATATTAAGTTAGGGTGCCAATACTTTTGTCCAGCCCATTTTTGGGGTTTTGTGTGACATTATGTCATATTTGCTTTTCTGCCTCTGTTTTATATTTGTTCCAATACATACAAAGGGAATAAACATGTGTATAGCAAAACATGTGTTAATGCAATACCTTTTTTGTGTGAAATACTTGATTTTCAGGAAAAATATCAAGGGTGCCAACAATTTCGGCCATGACTGTATATATATATATTGCAATAAGGGTTTAATTTAATTGAGGAATATGAATCTATATAATATTTATTTTTTTATTTTATTTGTGGGTTTAGCGCTACACATTTCTGTTTACATGTTTTGTATTTGGTATACAAAATCTGGTATTGGCTGCTTTACATCACTATTGTTCTTTTGCCCAAGTGCATATTTTCTTGCTTAGTTTATGAATAAGTGGAGTACAGTGTCAAAGTACTTAACAGTTCCACAAAATATAATACAACATACCAGGAGCACAATATCACAGGAACGTGGTTGTGGAATTTCTTAGCAAAGTTAGCAGTGCATTGGCAATGTTCCAGAAGGTACAGAATGTCACTTTGTTTTGCTTTGCGTCTAGTAAGGTCACTTTGCAATAAAGCAAGGAAGCTTAGAAAAATCTCTGTAGTGTATTAATATGCTTTACTGAATGAAAATGTTGTACACATACAAACTATTAAAATTATAGGAAAATAATACAAGAATGACAGATTTACTTACCACAAGCATGCACAAACACTAACTATCCTTCCTAGTGAATGAGCGGGAACTATGGTCTGTATACAATAGAAACAGAAAAGTTACTTTGCACAGGGTATAGTGGCTGTTTGATCTCCTTAGGCAACAAGGACCAGGTCAGTTTACATTGTTGCCCTTTTAGCTTAAGCAGACAATCCCACATGGGTGTATCCTTTTCTGCCTTATTACACTGATGTCATATAAGTAGGTGAAACATTCTCCAATTCAGTCTCTAGATAGCACTTTTGTTCGTGCCATATGTAATATATGTCAAAAGGTCAAGCTATGTTTGACCATAGTTACCTGAATGCATCATATAAACCAGTGGTTCTCAACCTGTGGGTCGCGACCCCTTTGGGGGTCTAACGACCCTTTCACAGGGGTCCCCTAAGACCATCAGAAAACACATATATTTCCGATGTGTAAAGAGCAGCTACTGTGTAGAAAGCAGCTGCTGTGTTGAAAGCAGCTACTCTGTTAAAAGCAGCTACTGTGTTGAAAGCAGCAGTATTGGAGGTAAAACGACACTCATGAATTATAATTACTGGGTAAATAATTTTATGGTTGGGGGTCACCACAACATGAGGAACTGTATTAAAGGGTCCCGGCATTAGGAAGGTTGAGAACCACTGATATAAACAGAATACAATTGAAACATTTAACTGCCAACTGCATACAACAATGGTATCAATGTTCTCATTGTTTTAGAGGACAGCTTGTGTAAACAGTTTTTAATAGCATTTGTTTGAGAAGTATCCACTTAAACACTCAAAGTAAACTGATTTTTGCTTCTAATACAAATTCTTCTATGTAAGTCTGAGAAAAAATAATATAACATCTGAGTAGAGAGGAGGCTTTAGGCAAAGTGGTGGTGTATAAAAAATGGGAGAGTGATGTGGGTCTAAGTCACAGCACAGGAGTTCTGGCTGCAGTGTCCCTATTCTGTCCTTTCTCGACAGGATCCTCTCCCTTGGCTAAATAAGCTGTTTCTGTCTAGTGTAGATCCTGTTCTACTCTATTTACTTCGCAACTGCATGTCAATTGCAGCGGGACACTGCTATTTATTAGCCTTGTCCTCACTCAAGATGGATGCCGAGGTGCTGGTGATAACTGCAGAGGAACTATGTTCCTCTCACCCTCCATTCCCTCTGCACAGCGGTTAGCACACAGTGCCCCCTACAGAGAGGAGAATAAACTGCACCTGCCTACAAGCTGCTTGTTAACTGCATCCCATCCGCCCTATAGCAGAAATACTGCTACAGGGAAGCACGGTTGCGCAAAATCACGTACATACGTACGAGCCACGCGCACCCTACCCACGCCTCCATTCTCAGCCGCGGCTGTCAATTGCCAGCGCCCGGTGATTTCCAATTATTTCCGACGGGGAGGAGAACTGTTTTGTTTACTAACAGTTCTCCTCCCTGCCAGCTCGGGCACACTGCTTCGGATGGCTGTGCATTGCATTTGTAAATGCTAAAACTTTCACGTAAACCATTTAATTTACATGTATTGGGATTTTTTTTTAGCAAAGACATGTAGCAGAATACATTTTGGCATAAATTTATGCCGAAATTTGATTTTTAAAATTTTTTTTACTGGACATGTTTAATAGCAAAAAGTCAGAAATATTTTTTTTACTCAAAATTGTTGGTCTTTTTTCTATATAGCACAAAAAATAAAAAACATACAGGTGATCAAATACCACACATAGAAAGCTCAATTCGTGGAGAAAAAAAGCACGTACATTTCATTTGGTTGTAGCATTGCATGACCGCGCAATTGTCAGTTAAAGTAACGCAGCGCCGTAACACAAAAAATAGCCTGGTCAGGAAGGGGGCTAAATCCTCAGGAGGGCAAGTGGTTAATATCCATATATGTATAGATTTCATCATTTAGTCTGCAGTATGAACAAAGAAATCTTATAGATTTCTCCAACCAACACAACAGTAGTGCCACCAACTGTCAAGAATACCCGAACAGTGCCTACAGCCGATTGGACGTAGACACTGTAGAGCCAACAATTTTCTGACATGCTCCATTTGTCAAAAGTCAATTTAACAAACCAGCAGGAACTGGGTGAAGTTCAAGCCGTGTATGGCCAGCTTTAGTAGCTATTGTGTGTCTGGGAAATGCTTGGCTAGAGCTCTCCGTTGTACTGAAACTATTTGTTGAGCTCATTGGTTAACTTTTTTAGGTTATATAATAATTGACACAGCCAGCCCAGGGCACCAGACATATTTCACTGTGTTTGCTCAGGAAATGCAGTGCATATGTTACAGTAAAGTAAGATGGTGGAGGGATATCAGTACCCTGCAAATGTACAGATGATTGTGAGACCCATCATTTGCATTTTTGCCAAAGGCCTCAGTTTGCGCAGGAGCCTATTATGGACAAGATGATTGTGTGGTTCCTTTCGC